ATATTTATATCTTGCATACTCAATTTTATATTTTAATTTATAATATCATATTGGAAGTCATTAAATATTAATATTGTTCTGACTAATCAGTAATCACAAACCGCTGTTTTTAGTTATCGTCTAGTTTTCGACTTCATTCTTCATCAGTAAAATTTGTCCTTAGAACTTTTATTATACCAATATAACTTTATTTTATAAGTTATGACCCTTAATTCGTTTTTATCAAATTTATGTTTTTGTATTAAGAGGACGTCTCACCCGGATGTGTTGTCTCCGTCTTACACACGTACGACATAGCAAATTTTCTTTTGCTAGTTTCAATAGGATATTGTCAGTTTTGATATTAGAGTGAATCGACCTATTATCAAACTTTTAGGTAACAACATTATATATGTTCTCTCGTTGGTCTTTTAAGATATTTTAATTTTTAAGTGAGTTATGAAAATTTTAGATCATGAATACTTATATACCCATAACTCACTTAAAAATTGAAATATCGTAAAAAACCAACGAGAGAACTCAGATACTGTTCTAACCTAAAAGTTTGATAATATAGGTCAATTCACTCTAATATCAAAACTGACAATACCCTATTGAAACTAGCCAACGAACATTTGCTCGTGTGTAAGACGGAGACAAAACATGCGGGTGTGACGTCCTCTTAAGTCAGAGAATGACTACTTGCCTTGTTTTAATAAAACTTTTTAAATGATTTAGGAATATTTTTTTTTGCTTGATGCCTGCGTATGGCTTTATCTTTGAAAATGTGCAAAATTAGAATCAAACATGAATTTGTCTGATATTTGTCTGAATAAAAATGTAGTACTGTCAACTTTTATCTTTATGACATTATTATCTATAGATAAATTATTAGTTATCTACTCCCAACACTGGACTCATGTTAGACTAATATTCAAACTAATGAAGCAAAACTGGAACGGTTCATCACAAATTTTCACAAAAGTGGGCATTAACTTGTTAAAAGTTATATTTTTTTCAACTTAACTCGTTAATAATTTTTGTTTTTAACTTATTAACTTATTCAGTTAAAATTATTATTGTTGAAACTTAACTTTTTATAGTTAATTATAATTGACGTGAAGTTAAGTTAAATTCTCTTTCGTGCCATTCGGAACCAGCTAGACAATACTGATTCGTTGATTCTTTTTCAATTTTGGTAATTTATTTTCTAATTTTATATTATAATATAACTAATTGTTTACACAGTGTTAAACATCTTGGTAAATGATTGTGTAAATCAAAATAGTGGGGCAGTTTATGACTTAAAAATATTCTAACTGCTGTTTTCCATGGAAAACAATTAAACTTTTTTTTAACCGAGTTAAGTTAATTTTATTTTCTATCTTAACTTTAAACTTATTCAGTTAAATTTGTTTTTGTTAACTTTCAACTTTTAACTGAAGGCAGTTTAACTGAATTAACTTAACTTTCCACAGTTAATTATTTGCATTAACTTGCCCATCTTTGCATTTTCAATATGTTACCTACATATTTGTAATACAAAAAATGCGTGGATGGGACGAATGAATATTATTTATACATTAATACACAAGACATATAGTGCTACCTATATAATGAGTTATACAGAACATAAATGTACCTACCTCTAACAGCTTTTACACTCGATGGGTAACGACTGAAAGACGAAACTATATGTACAAACTTGACACTTGTGCACACTCAACGATTTTCAAGAAACTGAATAACATGAGAATATAACAGGTAATTTAGCAACACGTGATACGCATGTCTGTGACGTAAGTATTTCCCCAACAAGTTGAGCGGTGAAGTGGGGGTGGAGTCTTCGGCAGCGGCGGCTGCACACCAATGAGAAACGGAGAAATTCGCGTACAAAGCTGGGTGGAAGGTGGATTCTCGAATTGCTTCAAAGGCGGTATATTGCAGACCTATTTAAGAGTTAAATTAAAATTGGTCTTTTTGTATAAAATTTTCAATTCTCAAAAATTATTTGAAGTTTTATCAAAATCAAGTATGAATGTGTAATGTAAAAAAAATACGTACCTACTGGATTGCGGCTTGATGTTTATTTAATATTTATTAGTGTTTAGGTACTACTTTTATATTTAAATTATATAATAATATAATAAATTTTATTTTTGTGTGTATGAAACGTATAGCCCGAAAGCTTGTTTTGTTCAGGCACAAATGACTATAATAATGATTACCACAAACGATCAGTTTCCCGACTATTTATCTAATATGATGGCACACACCCAACTTTATTTAATATTATATATTTATATCTATACAGAAATACAGAATAGAGATTAAAGTTTTTTTTTTTTTTTAATTGATCTTTTAAAGCCCGGCGACTATGGCCATTAGCTAGATTAAAGTTTATCTTCATATTAGTACTAGCTGAACCCATGCACATCGTTGAAAGTTAAATGTACCAACTCTATATGACTCAAACTTTGTTCAATACGTTATTTAATATTCGGTGTATGGTAATAAAAATTAATAAGTACTAACTTTTCCTTTGCCCGGAATAAAAATTCTGATTCGCAGCAATCAGGTAGGCAATCACGGACCTCGCGCGTGCTGTTTGTACGTAAGTTATACCTGTCGTATTCCACCTATGATGGATTAATATAATCAATACAAAATCCTAACCTAACCTAACCGTATTAACATCAGATGAATAAAAAAAAAAAATTTAACCATTTTCAAATTAGCCTATCTTCTTCCCAGAGGTCTAATCTACACACAAACATTTAATTTTATATATATATTGACAAAAAATAATAATACAAATCAACAAACATGCCCAATTGGCAATTAAAAATTAGCAACTAATCCAGCGCGACGTTAGTGGCGCGAAGCTAAGTAAAAAAAAATAGCGGAGTAGCCACTAACGTATGATAACAGGACACCGAGTTTTAACATTGAAAAATCGTCCTAATTTATGTCAATTCTTTGCCAAGCTCTACAGGGCAAACGGCTGAACATATAAAGTCGTATGAGGTATCAATCGATCATAAATATTGTGCAGATGAGAACAGAGGAATTCGCTAGCAGATTGGTTAGATAGTTTATAAGTTAAAAGCAAAAATGTTCAAGTACTTTTAAGACCGATTTTGCATACGGAACAGTGGGGATGGATGAGCGGTGGATCGGGGAACGAAAATATCGTAAATATCCCCCGACCCGCCGCTTATCCAATCACACTACTCTCATCGCGGCGGCGGTGGCGACGACGTACGACAATTGGCGATTGCAACGGATACCGGTGGTTGGCAACCATTTACCATTATACGATTTCGTGTATTGCTATTTGCTGACGAGTGACGACCAGCAAGATAGTATAATATAGATTATAGGTACTCAACGACTGTGATTGTTTAGTGAATTCGTGATCCAGCTCGACGGTATCATATTATTATGCTGAAAACTTGGAACAATAATAAAATAAAATAGGCAATCTGGTGATTAATTCAGTACCCGTGGCAACAATTAAGGTTGATGGCAAATAATATGCTCTTAATTCTGTGATTTCCCATCATGGTCCATCTATGACTCTCAAGCCCATTACACATCAGTTATTAAACATAATAATAAAATATGGGTTGGATCTAGATGTAATGATATAATATTTATATTCTAGTTTTAGAAAAAAAAAACTAAAATAGAAAAAAAGATATGACAACAGGAGGCCAACGACGCATATGCTATTATGGATTACTATTATTATATACAGTAAAATAAAATCGTGACTTATTTCATAAAAAAAATAGCTGATAGGTATCACACCAAAAACACTTCGTTATAACTCCGTGTAAAAAAAAAAGCTAAGTTAAAAAAAAATTTAGTCATGATTAAATCTTTAAAAGACGTGATATAATATGGAAATTTAGTAAAATTACATTTTATAATATTACAAATACCTATGATGACAAATAAGATCAGTTGTAATGTTGTTTGTATTAATAAATATTATCTCAAAGGTAGGTACCTATACTTCTTAATATATTTTTTAAATTTTTTTAAGTCTTAAACATAATTAAATATTAGTATACTTACACTTAGCACACAAAGTAGGTACCTACCTAAAATAAAAACATACAATAGGTAATAACAAATATTTACATACCTATTATTTTGTATTTAAGTGTTATTTATCTTAAATGTTATACTTGCAAATTTTATAAATTATAATATTGTTCCAAATTGTATTTCATTATATGTGGCGTAAATGCGTAATACAAGAAATATTATTTTTCCAAGCAGAAATAATGACACAAGTCAAACTGAAATTCGATTTACAATAAAACAAGGGTGAAATGGTACTTATTATTATTTTAAGCATATCAAAGTAAACTATACAATATTAAAAATAATATAAGATTGAAAAAAACAAAATTCAATTTAAAATTCTATGTACCTAAATGTAGTACCTATATAATGACATAATGAAACATTAAAAGTAGATTTCAAAACATTTTGATATTTTGGTTTGTGTCATTATTCTTTCAGGGAGGAGGGATCGGCGATGTATACATAAATAAACCATTTTTTTACTTTACATCTAATATATTATCCAAAGACAAAATATAAAATGAATACTTAAGGTCTGAAAATACGCCAAAGTATTAAAAACAACAATGAATATTCAATACTTATATGGTGACATAATAGAAACATTTATTATCCCAGATGGTTTAATGGCTTATGCCTGATAATCCTTGCTCTCAACCAATCAACCCAATTTTTCCAATGACTTAACTCACTAATAAGAACCTATTCAATTAATTTATATAACATATATTGATTAAACATTTTCATATATTACGTAAATAGTTATGTATTATCAGGTAAATAGTGTGAGTAGCAACAAAATTCCAAGACACTATATATCGTTATACGTATATAATTAAGCAAACCTAATTTATTTTAATAAATAAATAAATACAATTTAAAAATCGAAAACAATTATAAATATTTATCATCGACGATTCGTTTTACTGTTGATTCTTTGTGGTCGTATAGCTCTATAACAATAATAATGCATAAACCAAGTTATGAGCAATAAATTAATATTCAATGGATTAAATAGAATCTGTGTAATTTAATATCGTACTATACCTCAGCTGCTATACTGTGTAACAAATCAGACGTTTCGTTTCCAGTTTGTTCTACCATTTTGTACAAAAACCCATCTTTATTGTTCAATAAGTTATAAGGGTGGTCGAATTCAACCATTGTTCCAGCGTCCATAACAAGCACCTTGTCAGAATCCATAACAGTGATCAAACGGTGGGCGATCGTTAACACTGTACACGACCGAAATTTATTTCTTATCGTATTTTGAATCAACGCATCGGTCCTGATAACAAAATAAGAATCCAATGCACACAGCTTTACGAGTATAACGAGAACATTATTGCAATCGATTTTATATGATTTGTATCAATAGTTACTGTGAATCGACATTGGCAGTGGCTTCATCCAGCACGAGGAGTTTATTACTACGTAGTATAGCTCTAGCCAAACAAACTAATTGCCTTTGACCAACACTGAAATTAGACCCGCCTTCGGACATTTTTGAGTTTAGACCGTCGGGCAAATCCTCTACGACGGTTTTAAGTTCCACCTTAAACAGGAATAAATCCACAAAACGTTACGAAACTTATTTTACTAATTCGTAATAGTAATTAAGTAAATAAAAAAAAAAAACTGTATTTCGAAATTATCATAAATTAGAAAATATACTTCTTCTAAAGCATTCCAAAGCGCATGATCTGGGTATTCGTCTAAAGGATCTAGGTTTTTTCGCATTGATCCCGAAAACAAAACTGGTTCTTGAGGTATTATTGAAATTTTGGAACGTAAATCGTGTAATCCTAATTCATGTATTTCTATACCGTCGATGGTGATATTTCCCTCATTGAGAAAAAGTCTAAATAACGCTCCTATCAATGACGATTTACCTGCACCAGTTCGTCCAACAATTCCTATCTAAATTAAAAGACAATTTTCATTGTAACAAAATTCAAAGAGATTAAAATAATATTGATAATAGTACGTATTGGTTAATGTTACTTTTTCCATTGGCTGAATTTCAATATTGAGATTTTTTAAAACATGGTCCGCGTCTAAACTATAACGTAGATAAAAATTCTCAAACACGATTTGACCTTTATCTGGCCATTCTTTTGGTGGTTTTTTATCTAAAACAAGAATAAAGAAATATATACTATAAAATTATGAATATTATACATTAAATAGGTACCTTATAACATTTACATTAATGCTACTTATAGCCTTAATCTTAGTAACCGAATGTAATATACGATTAAGGTTTAGCAATAAAAACTCTTTACTATTTTAAATATATTAATCTCATTAAATACTGTATATTTCAATTTTTTAAAGTAACTACATTGGTATACATATTCTATTAAATTGATTTATTTACATTATATCTATTATACTATTAAGATTATATTACCCGGAGAAGATTCGAGAGGAGCTTCTTGCGGGACATTTGTATACTCAAGTACTCTCTCGACAGACGTCATTTGATTATCTAATTCTGCTAATTGTCTTATTCCCCACTGGAGAGCGCCCGTCAAACTAATTGCTTGAGTTAAAACCAATCCAACATCTCCCCCAAAATTTTCTAAAAATTAATTAATTTTATAAATACAATTAATTGCAATACAATTTATTGTATATTACCATTGTTTAAGATTAAGAAACTTAAAGTTAATATACATATATAAATGAAACAGATCATATCCAACGAAAATCCAAATGCTTCACTTGATGAAATAAATAAATACCAAGTCGAAGAATGTAAATCCTTTAAATTTTAAATAAATTATTAATATTTTACTAATGATGCACAATGTGTTTCCTTTACTTGATGTTCATCAAATTCTTTGCATAAAATATCCTCGGCTTTAAACGCTCGGATAGTAGATAATCCTTGAAGCGACTCATTCAAATATCCATAGACAGGACTTCGGGCTATATTTTATATTTGAAAAATTAAATAACTCCTGGTTAGGTCCATAACATAATGAGGATAATTAATTCAGCACTTACTAACACCTTCCAAACGTTTGATACTACGTGATGTCGATAAATAAAAATGAACAGTATAATAACACATCAAACCTACGATGAAAGTCGGTATGAGAAGATAAATGTTAATTATACCAACCACAACAAGAGTTCCTATAAGTTGCAATGCTATCTGGTAAAACAATATAAATACAAAAAAAGATATATTTTACTGTACAACATATAACATACTATTATATTATTGTGCACATTAAGTGAAGTAAACATATTGTATTTAATATAATTACGTGAACAAAATCCAATAATGGCATTGGTAATATTTCATCAATACCACCAATGTCTTTAGTAAAGCGGTTAAGAATTCGACCTGAAAAATTTATATTGACTATCTATTAAACATGCGGTTAAATAATTATTTAAGAAATTTCATTACCCGATGAATTTGTATTGAAGAAATACATTGTGGCTCTTGTGATAGCGTTAAACATATTGTTATGTAGATTCATAGAGGAGCCCATTAGGACTGATACAAACATGGCACATCTTATGAAAATAACTACTAGCAAAGTTAAATTTAAAATAGAGTACATCATAACACAAAACTGTCGAGATATTATCCAAGGTGTATCGGATATTAAGTGAGTTATAAAGTTGCTGATATATGTAGATTTACTCTCTGCGTTAGGAAAAACGTGATCTTCCAGATAAACCCTAAAATAATTGAATATATTTTAACATTAAATTTAATTTAATATGCAAAAAAAATTCCAAGTACTTTACCAATAACTTATCCAATAATCTCCACCAGTACCAAGAACTTGTGTAAAAATGCACACGAATAATAGAAATGATGTTTTAAAAATATTTCCTCCAGCAGAAATATAAGACAAATAAACACTGCGTGAAACGTTTCCGGAAGATCTTGTTTCAGCCACTACGGTGGGTTGTTTTTGAGCTTTGTTTAATTTGTTCTCGTCAACAGACGACGCAACACTTATAATAGACCCTTGTAGAGATACATCGGAGAGTTGTTCTAAACTGTTATTAATTGTATTTTTTATATTCATTTCACTATCAGTGGTTGTTTCCTCCGATGACTTAAGTAATTTTGTAAAATCTAAGCCAGAAGATTGAAGTCCCTGATAAGAACCCTCGGCTAATATATTTCCCTGAAAAAAAAAATTAAAATAAAAATCATTTCATTATTATTAAAACATAATATTTTATTCTAGGACTGTTACTAAAATTACTACTTACGTTTTCCATCAAAATAATTTGATCAACACTTGACAAGTATTGTATTTGGTGAGTAATAAGTATACAAGTTTTCTCTTTGAGGTAACCTGTAAATTAGAAATATAATACCATCAAATGAGTATTCTAACGACAACTCCATAAGACATTATGTACCTACCATTAATACATTTTTCAAATAAATGTTTTCCAACGTGTGTGTCAACAGCTGACAAAGGGTCGTCCAATAAATAAATATCGGCTTGTTTATATACAGCTCTAGAAACGTAAAACAACAAAAAACCATAAAAAAAATTATTTAAATTATAAATTATAAACAACTAATTTTCTACTTGCCTTGCTAGATTTACTCTCGCTCGTTGACCACCACTAAGAGACACTCCTCTTTCTCCTACTAAAGATCTGTCACCATAAGGAAGTTGTTTAAAATCGGTTTTCAATGCGCATACTTTTATAACCTATAAATAACAACCATGAAATTTACAATTTTTAATATAAACAAATCCTATTATATCAGTTATATAGTTTGAAAATGTTACTTCTTCGTAACGATCATGATCCATTGGCGAACCAAAAAGTATATTTTGTTGAACTGAACCGTTAAACAACCAAGGTTCTTGAGATGCGTATGATAATGTGCCACGCACCGAAATACTTCCTTCGCAAAGTGGCAATTCTCGTAAAATCGCATGAATCAATGAACTCTGAATGAAAAGTAAAATTTTACCACATTATTACTGTGTTATTTACAATATAGGTCATCCATACTTTTCCGCCTCCTACGGGCCCAATGATTGCAACCAACCTCCCAGGTCTAACGGTTAAATTAATATTATTTAAAGAGTTATCTGGTTGATTAACTATCCATTTGGCCGAGGCGTTTAAAATGTCGATTCCAAAATTTTCCAATTTGTCGATACCTTCTTCATTTTCAGTTGTATTTTCTATACAATTTTGACTATTAGTGTTTGACATTTCTACGCCATTTGTCGATGTTATTTCTGATTTCCATAACAGTTGAATATTATGCTTGTCCTTTTCATCTTGTAGTAAAAATGACTTTTTCAAACAAAACAAATAATTATTTATCACATATTTCAATATTTGTAAGATAATTATTTATTTTTTTTACCTGAATGCGTTTAATGGATATCAGCATCTCAGCTAGTGTTATAACACCTTGAGGGAAAAATACTGTCATTGTTGTCAATAATATATTGTAGTACGATATTATAACGAAAACCTATTGAAGTACATTTATTGATTAATATATCGCGGCAATATATACCGGTTGTACTATGGCTTTTTTTCATTAATCACCCCCCCCCCCCCTAGTCAATACACCACTCTTACTGTTTATTAATAATTTTTATTTTTTATAGTAAATAAAACGCTTCATCACATGGCATCAAATTTCCTGTCAAAAGTTCATACATGTCATATTATTTATTTAGAACGTAGAATGCCTATATAAAACTACTGTGAATATTTAAAAAATTTTAATGTATGCTACTTTAATAGCATTGAGGAGTTAAATTAAAGTCAATTATTTATATGAGTAATAACAAAAGTTTTTGAAAAAACCCTAGCCTAAGTGCAAAAAGAATCCGCGCCCCAGGGAAGAAAAATCTAGCACCTTCAGTGGCGTAGACATGATTTCTTAAAGGGGGGGATCAAAAAAAAAAAATTGACATAGCTAGTGGGAGAGAAAAATTGGAAAATCCCCCACCCTCTCAAAACTTTCTACTAATCATTGGCGCAAATAGGGGGGGGGGCTTGGGGGGACTTAGTCCGGATAATTGATAACTGATAAGTAATTTATAGGTGATAAACTATGAGGGCTGTGTCACGATCACGGCTATAGTATCTATAGCCAAAGAATAATGCCGTGGTTGCTGTTGACTTCCACAATCGACGGTTTACGCGCCAATTTTTGAATGGAGCATTTTGTTATCATTAATAATTATTATTTGTTACCACGGTCCACGGACTAAGATATATGTTGTTAGGTTATATTTTAATATTTATTGGAATAAGGGATTTATCTAATAATATAAATACAGAAGATATTTTAAATGTATTTGCCGAAAAAGAACGGAGAATTTTGTTAAAATAAATATATTCTAAAAATGTAATACTTTGTATTTTTATATATCCGTAACAATAGTCGCTCAGTGGGTGGGGGATTTTATGGAGAGCTTTTCCCTCCAACATTTGTTTTACTTATATTAAGACCTTTGTGGAGGGGGGCTTGAGTCCCCCCAAAAAATTTAGTCAATTTGCGCCTATGCTACTAAGGTAATAAAAAGCCAATGGGGGGGGATCTGAAACCCACGTCCTCCCCTTGGCTACGCCACTGAGCGCCGTGCCTACTTATATAAGTGTTCAAATTGTGTATTTACTTGTTGCGTATTAATGTAATTTCCTAATAATACATATGAAAAGATACTTATGAACAACGCAAATCTAAAATGAAATATTCTGAAGGACTGCAAAAAAACTCTAATCCACGATGTCCCTCTGATCTGTTCGATTTCCATTCTGTAACAAAACAAATTGACATTTATTTAATTTAGTACCTATTAAAATATCCGTAGCACACACTTCCTTGCATATTGTACAAGCAATGCGAAAGGTTTCTCCCATGTGTACATCTTAATCACTTGTATGCCTGATATTATTTCGTTCATAAGTCTTACTCTTTCGTCAGTCCTTGGTGCGGTTTTTGATCGATAGTCAGATGTCATCTTCCCCAACCATCCTAGAAAAAAAAATTCATATTTAAGAGTACATATTTATATCATGCTACAAATGACAATCGTCTTAAGACGTACCTTGTAATGGAACAAAAGCGAGAAATACAGTTACTCCAACTATTGACGATACGCCAATTTCTTGCCACAAAAAATATGTGACCAAAATAGTTTGCAGAGGTCCGATCCATAAAAATTGTATGAATCTTAATGTCATATCGAATCGGTTTACGTCATTTGATATCAAATTTACTACTTGACCGACTGTGGTTTCACAGAGAGAAGTTTTACTTAATGTTAATGCCTATATGTATATTTGATAAAACATAAGGCATAGCCTCATAGGTAATAATAATAATTAATTTATTATAAATCATATGAAACATTTATTGCTCATTAACAACGAAAACATTGTTAACTTTAAATCGTACTATCATAGTATCGTTGATTTTCGCGTCACCAATTAAGTGCCGTTTGTTCGAAAAACTAAATAAAAATATACTTTCACTATTACAGAAGGTAAATATACTGTGAATCTAAATACTCGTTGTCCATATTATAATTCTTCAGTTGAAGATATAAAAGGCTAACGAGAAAATGGCGTTTTGAAAACTCTTTTTTTTTACTCGATTTTACATGAACCAACAAGTTCTTAATGATATTTTGATATTCAATAATGATTGATACAATACTACATAGTTTAATGGTATAGGTACCTATAAATTTTTGGTAAGTGAATTTACCTTTTTATATATTATTGAACAGCAAGCAACACGGATCTTCATTCCAATGTGTACCATTTCCAATTGTGACCAATGATACAACACTATGTTAGCTAACATGTTTAACAACAGACCGGATGCATACATGTATGCATGTTTAGAGTCTATGGTGTTGGATCCACCGTGGTTGAAATACGCTAACAGTCCACCAATGAGTAAAGGTTGAGTCATTCTATAAAAAGTTCACTCTCATCATTCATACTCACATTATATTATAAGCACCGATATGATTTTTTTATGACAAAAGTTTATAATCTTTAATTTTTTTTCCAATAACCTTAGAATTGTTTTTATATGCAATGATTTATCATTGAATTATAATCTAACAAATCCATTTGGGTAAGTGACTCAATGACGAGGAACACTCGAACCTAGGCGCAACTAAGACAACATACCTCATATTGTTCATTCATTAATCTGTGTAAATGTACCCCGTTATTGAGGTAAAATATAATTTATACTGGTTTTTTGTACTAATATATGTACAGTAAATATTTTTATTTTTCATAAATATAAATGTACATTAATATTGATTAAAATTGATTAACAAATTTTAATTTTATTTTTATACAAATTGTTTGTGTTTTAAATTATATACCTACCTACTTCCAATTGTATCATCGTTTCACAGTAAAATATTGAAAACATTTTGAGAATAGCTATATTTCATAAAGTGTCTTACAGCATACTCGTTCTAACCCATTTTTGCCTCACTGAAGAAAAAATTTTTCGTGACTTACTATCTCACATATAGAGGGGAACTTAGCCCCCAAGCCATCACACTATTGCCTATATTTGGTTAACTACTGTCTACTATACAACAGATCGAGTTCCCTAATTTTGTTTTATAAAATAAATGTTTGTTTATTTTTAAAACAATATCAAAGGCCTGCTTAGTTGGTTACAATGATATTATATACATATGAGTGAAATTAGAATATGATAATATTGAATATATTTTTTATGATTAAATAAATATATTTACCTTAACATGGTTTCAATGAACATTTGTATCATCCCATAGTACAAGAAACTTCCACCAAACATTCTAATTAAAACTCTCGATAAACTTGGTTCCCTATTTGTTTTTTTTGCATCAGTGATCTCGATTTTCCATCTCCTTTTAACGTATAAATTTAAAAAAAATGTTTAAAGTTAGTTAAAAAAAAATATAATCTTATAACTTTACTTTTCAATTTCTAATCCTAATAGCGATGACTTGTCATTGTTAAGTGCATCGTATAAATCATTGCTCTCCAAATCTCTCTTTTGTCCAGCTTTGAAGAGGTTTAATATCCAGCTGTATCATAAAGAAGTAAATTTATTACAAGAACCTATACCTATTAACCTAACCTATTAAAATTAAATTAAATATTTAGTTTTGAGTTATATTTAATTTGGGTTCTACGAAATTATGATTCAATGAGGTAAAGTAGGTATCTTAACAATTTTAGTTTTTTCAATTCCTATTAATTATAATTTATAAGCTTATAATATATTCTAATGCAACCATAATTCAAATATTAATTAGCACCTGAATGTAAGAATTTCGAAGATATTTGCTGTGGCTCGTGGATTTGGTAGCTGTTTTTCTTTGCTGCCCGCAGAGTCCATTTTTAATCTAAAAAAATATTTAAAAAACTATTTTGTTAGTTAATATTAAATATCCCAGACAGAAATTTGTTGTATACAAATATGTTTGTAGAAATTATAAATTCTAGAAAATACGCATTTATTTTTAAATATGCACTTATTTAATCTAAAATATTTTATTTAAAATTGTGTAAAAAATAAGTATTAAAAAAGGCGAAGAAAGGTTTTAAAAGTATAAAAATGTACTTCACTAAGTTCTTTGCCATTTAACATTCTTTACATCTTCAATCTATAAAATGTTAGCCAACTTTAATAAAAAGTGAAAACTAAGATTGAATTCATATTTTACCTTATTTCACTGGATGATGTTATTTAATGCAAACAAATTAATCTATATAATGTAATACATGATATATATATGGCATACGAGTTTTCATCTCATATTTGGCAATAAAGACCGGTCGTAATTTTATCGATATTGTGGGGCTATGAATGTGAAAATATGACGAAAAACAAATATATGTGCTATAAATAATAATATGCACTATAAAACTACAAATATGCATTTAATATTTAACGTTGAAATATGCAAAATATGCAAAATGCAATTGACTTTATTTTAATAAGAATAATCTAATAATAATAATAATATAACTATATTTATAATAATGTTATAATAATAATAGGTATTATAATATTATCATTACAAACTGCTGTCTGCGGGGGCTATAAACAAAGGAAAAAAGTTTCAAAAACACTTCAGCGTGAAAACAATATAATACTTTTTTTTTTATTTTGAAAATAAATATACAATCTGTACCCTGAAGCACAATAAGAATATGGGCTAACTTACAATTAACATGAATGAGTTGTAGGAAGAAGTAGTAACAAAGTAGTGACCCTTCCCACAATATAATACTTAGATAATTTTTAACTATACTAATTTATTTTCACAAAAACGATTTTAATAAGATTTGAGCATTTTATAACAAAATTATGGAAAAATCTGGTGACAAGTATCGGAGTATCGGTGGATATGTTATGTTTACACAACAATGTATGAAGTCCAATTCATATACCATTTTATTACGTTTTTGAAAACTTGGTTTAGGTATTTAAATTTATTTATTTTCTGTCAATATTTAAAATGGACTAATTAAAAATGTTTTCTTTAATGGTTTGAAAATAATAATTGCATTTAAATATTACAAATATGTATAATATATTTACTAATTACCTTAACATATTTCTCTATCTGTTGGAAAAAGGAGTAAATTTTTAAGTTAAATAACACCTGCGATTAAAACAAAATATTTGAAAAGGCACACATGTAATATTACAATGTAGACAAAACAATGGCGTGCCATGGCTGTTAATATATTTTAGAAGAATTACACTATCTCATTTTATTTTTATTAGGAATTAGGAATTTTATCACCATGCACTAAATATTCTTGTTAATATTTCTATTATGTCAATTATCACTTAAAGCTACAAAAAATAATGTTTGTCATAGTAAATTACTATCGTGACATTGATTAAATATTGAACATAAACTATTAATTTTTATAAACTAATTATGGCGAAACTTCATGTGCATTATAATTCTTACTCTTAACACGTCTTTTTAAATTTAAACTGTTTTTGTACAGCATGAATTCATAGACGTTTCTTAATGACTTATCCAATTGTATGTATTTAAGGATTATATTATTAATTTTCATACGTTTAATAATTTACCAATATATGTGAGTGGAAAAGTCCCGGACTCCTTGGCTCTAGATTTCGGTATATTATTATTGTGAGTGTGAATGCAATGTCATTTAATGATTTTACCCCATTCAAAACCATTAAATCTTTATAATAAAACCACAATTTCTTACGTTTCTTTGATAATTTTTCTGAATTCTCAGTAGCTTAGTTACACTTAATCTTTTGACAGCTGATTAATTTATAATTTAATTTTTTTTTAATTTTAGATTATGAGGGGAACGATGAATTTATTGAATACAATTTTAACGAAATTAGATATTAAAATGAAAAATAATTATTTTAGTTATTTTGTTATAATTTAAAAATATTATTCGTATGTACTTGTAGTAATACTTATGAAGTATATTATTATATTGTATACACACTATGAATTTTTAAATACAATAACTTTTTTGGCCAAAATTAATTCAACCTGCTTTATTATTAGTTTACTAATGTCTAATGGTGAATTAATAAATTATTTTAATAGGTAACAGTAATACCACAAAATATACTTAGTAATATTATAGGCTAACAGACCGTCTTCGTTCAGAATCGTTTTTCGTATACAATGATTATTGATTTTATATCATTGACTTAAAATTTAACCCATTCGTTACAGTGATCCCTCTTGACACCTACTATACAGCAGAGCGATATCCTCTTTTTTTTCATCAAATATTATTTTTTTAGGTAATGTACATTTATAAGGATACATATTACAGTAGTTCCTAAATTTGTTATCATAGTGACATCATAAATTAATTTTTTAATGATGAATTTTTAAAATCCAAAACACATATAGGTAGGTAGGTAGGTTATATAGGTAGGTATGTGTACAATTTACAATATACATCCTTAGCACTGGAGTCTGGAAGTCTTACTGAAATTCATGAAATCTCTTAAATATCCTATAAAGTAGGTTCTATCTAAATTGAACGATAATCAATTTATAAATACGACACAACTTTTAGTGTATTTTATTAATAATGACCAAAATAGTAACATTTCATAGATTCATATCTATTTTATGATTAGTGTAAAGACCATTCAAGTAGTTTACGGATTGTGTTTGTTGTAAATCATTTTACTTTTCTCAATCGACAATCGTATAATAATTGTTAATTTTTTTATCAACTATAACAGTTAATTTAATATAAAAATTATAAAACTTATAAAATTACAAATTAAATACAAATTATAAAAAAAAACATAGACTATACGTACCATATGTGATAAATGTATGAAAATTATGTATTAATTAAGCAGATTTGATTGGTGTACAGGTAATTTGTTTGTGAACAAATAACAAATTACAATACAATTATAAAATACAACAATGTAAGTCCTAATGTTAAAAAAAATTTTGTCTTGAAGCCAATCAACGTATAGTTATTAAAATACACAGTTTAAAACAATTTTAATAGATGATATTATTTATTATAGGATAGATTTTAAGTATTTGAACTTCATAATAAAAGTAAAACGGTTTCGTTTAAAGTCTTAGTCAAATATATTGTTACCTATCCTAGATGATAAATACAACTAAATAATTTGTTTAGTGTTAAATTTTTTAATTTAAGCACCTGTTGTGAGTAAAAATTCTAGAACACTGTACTAACTACTGCCTATAATTGCTATGATAGTCGCATAGGTCGAGTAGGTCACAGCGATAATATGATGTTATAACAAGTGATTAATTTGCCTTATACACTAATTAATGTATAATAATATTATGTATACATATTAAATATATTTGACTTAAAGTTTCTTTTTTGTGTGTTATTTTTTCTAATTTCAATTTCTATGTTCAATATTTTTTTTTATTACCCACAACTATTGTTTTACTCTTAAATATGGATTAAAATAAAGTTTAATACGTACAAAATCGGTGAGATGAGAAAATTGGTAAAAGTACCTGTAACTTTATGCCTATATGTCTTCAAACGAAATAAAAATAAATCAGAAACCTCAACAAATGACATAGGTATTCAGATATTCATTGATACTGATCATTAATGTATCACATTTTGTTGATCACCCTGTATACATAAAAACATGTTAGATAATAGCTTTTATTTATATAACCGAGCAAGTGATTTGTATATTTGTTTTTTTTTATTAAAAAAAATATGGACAATAGTCCATTACGTATTTATGTATGATAATTCTTATGTAAATAAATTTGCCTTTTGATAATATTATACTATACTATAATTAAATATAAATATTGTGTAATTTTAAAAAGTAGATACCAAACCAACTAAAATTATTTGAAATTAATTACAAATTAAAATATTACTAGACATAAGGGCGAGACCAGTGGCGTTTTCTCTGGGTGTGCAAGTTGTGTGTTAACGCCCTAAACATTGATGTCATACATGTGTGTAATATTGTAATTTGTAGTTCATATTAGTATATTACATGGTTATATAATTTTATTTACAAAATCTTAAAATAATTGTCATGTAAAAATAATAATATCAAATAATAAACTATTGTCTATTTTAAGCTCTAAACTCGACCATGCGCCCGCGCCGTCTGCACTCTGCAGCTACGACGCCGATTACGGAATAATATTGTATTATGTTGTGTTTGTGCAGGGTGTAGCCGTGTAGGACGTTAATAATTCGAACAACGACTTGTGGTATCTAATATCTCGTATTCGTAATTTGTCGTGATATTTTCGGATAACTTCGGTGCCATGTTAATACTAGACCAAGTCGTTGAAAATGAAATTAACGACTAGTCACTAGTCACTAGTCTAGCGCTAGCCTATACAGTATACACTGTGTTTGGACCGTTAGTGGGGATCGTAGCGGCTGCAGTGCTGCACGTTATCCTGTTTACGTCGTAGCCCATAGGTACTATACTACAAGACTGCAACGCCGATCGTCGAAAACATAATATATAATAAATAATTTTAATAATATGTTGATTATTAATAGTTGATACGAATTTATTTCCCATAAGGGGGGTTTTCCTAATTGTTTTCCTCACACATTAACGCCTAACGACGAAAGTCAGGAAACGCCACTGGGCGAGACCCTTTTCAACCAAAATCGTACGCTTCCCTTTTCTACCAAACCATAAAGTTTAATATTTAGATAATTTATGCTATACATTTAGAAATGTACTACAACATATTATATCTTAATTCTTGTCATTGATAATTTGATTATTTAATTAATAATTATATACATAGAATATATTATAGATAGATACATTTAAACATTTTATTCAACTACTATTTTTAATAATTTTTTATATCATCCATCATCGTGTACATATAACAGAAAGTACCTAAATTTGGACAAAAATAAATATGAGCAATGAGCATTCTTAGTAACTGTAGAAAGTAATGTTCAATAATTACTGACAAAAATTATATAGGTACCTATTGGCTATTATTATTATTACTTTATACATTAACTATTGTCTATATAATACATTTTATAAAACTTATATTTTTCAATATTTATAACAGTAAATATTAAAACTGTTGTCTTGGTCGAAAACAGAATCAGCTGAAAAGGAAGGGTACTAATTTGGTCAAAAAATGCTCAACCTTATGGTCATGACTTATGAAAACGAAAAAAAACAATTTATTAATAATATGACATTTTTATCAAAAGTTTAAAGTATGGAAAAATGTTCTTATAAATAATATGTAAGACAAGAAAATAATTAATTTTTCCATAATTTAAACTTTTGATAAAAATGTCATAATACTAATTAATCAGATTTTTAAATTATGAGGAATACGAAGAAAAACTTATTGGTTTTACAATGAAGTACCTATGTGTCTATTTTGGGTCTGTCATTAAAGGTTTGTAGTTGAAAAATTAATTCAATTTTAAAATCGAATGACGTTTTAGTTTAAAATTAGATTTTTTGATACTCTATAACAAATCCTCAAAATTTTAAGACGGTTGTAAAACAAACAAAAATCTACAGCAAAATCAGAATATTTAAGCATATCTCAGTTTTTGAAAAGTTCACAAAAGAACCACCCTGCAAAAACATAATATTGTTTTATGCAAAATGTAATTAAACCAACCATATTACTAATAGTCACAGGGTTGGGTGAGTAACTTTTAAAAATAATTAAAGTACTATACTCATTACTTAGAGATTAAAGTAATAAAGTTACTGTAAACAAATTAAAATGAAATTACTTAACTTTTCAATCTAAAAATAACTACCTTTACCTACGTTTTCTACTTTCCTCCGTGTTAATTCTTTAAGCAATCGTCATTATTTCTTCTATATTTTTTAACAATTTAGGTCTACTAACTTTTTTATAAACATTTTCTGAATTATTTATTATTTCACACATAGGTATACTCATTATCTGTGTGACTGTGTGTTGTTTTATACTTTGTAAGCATATAACAATTTTTTTTTTTTTCATACAAAATATTGACACAATATGTTTTTCATTTTCATTATAAGACAATGAGAAGGTAATAAGGTAATATATATATTATATACAGGAAAACCTCTCTACAACGGAATCGCTTGGGACCAACAAATGTTTTCGTTATTTAGAATTAGAGTTTTCTGTTATAGGAAAAATATACGGTACTTACATAGGTTATTTGGGAACGTTGTCATTTTCCGTTCTAGGGGGACTTCCGTCTTATAGGGTGTCCGTTATAAGGAGGTTTTACTCTATCTCTAAAAATATTTAACAATTTTAAATCCATATTTTAGTGCATTTATTAAAATTTTAAGTGATGCATTTTTAAACTACAATTTTTTAAGGTTTTATGATAAATTCAATTCACTTTCATAATTAAACTATTATAATATATATATATATCGTAGGTATATATTATTAAATTAAGCAATAGGAATAGAATATGCAGATATGTTCATAAAACAATTTTATTGTAGTAACTATACATCATATTCAGTTTAAAAAAAATGTATGATTAAGACACTAAAATAAATAAATAGTTTAAGTTATTGTCTTGTCGGGTATGAACAAACAGTCAGTGATGCCTTAAATGTATCTAGTAAATATGAAACAATAATTAATTATATAACTGACAGTCATTAATGTGATTTTTGTATAAAATCATCTGAACTTTAGC